AAAAAAAAAAAAAAAGAAAAGTTCTTAAATGCTTCAAAGGCACTTATAATTCATCATGTACAAAAACTGAATTATTCCCAATTCAGTGAATGACATCTATCCTGCCATGCAAGTTAGAAACTATTAAGTCACCTCTGACACTTCCTCCACTCCCACCTCCCACATATCCTGTCCATTTTATTTACTAAATATCCCTGGAATCTGTCCACTTCTATGTCCATAACCACTTCCCAACATTTCTTTCTTTTTTTTTTTTTAATTGAATAGTAACTGTGTACATTAATGCACTTCTGGGGTACAGTGTGGTGTTTTCACAAACAATCCGAAACACTTCCATCAAACTGGTTAACATAGCCTTCACGTAACTTTCTTAGTTATTGTGTTAAAACATTCATATTCTACTCATAGAAAGATTCACTTGTACCCTTGTAAGATGAACCACAGAAGTGAACCCTCGAATCCCCCTCCCAATATTTCTTATTTGGGTTACACCAATACTCCCATCCATCTTGCCTCCTTCAATCCAGTCCTCATATTACAACTAAACTGAATCTTTGAAAACCGTAAAGTTGATCACGTGACTTTCCAAGTTGTCAGACAGAAGCCCTTCAACGCAAAGGAAGTTCCGCCTGGCTGACCTAAAGTCCTCCTCCGGTGCCACCTCTAAAAATCTGAAACTGCCCACCCCTCTCAGCCAAATTTATCTATTCCCTTCAACCCCACTCATTCATTCAATATTCACAAGACGCATTCTATGGTTAGCCACCACTAAAGAGAAGATGGGGATATAAAGATATACCATAAATACGCTTCGTCTCGCTACACGGCTGGGTGTAATAAGCGGCAACCGGACACCTACACAAGGGGGAAAGCGTGCCCGCCGCCACAGGTCCAGGCCTCCCCTCCTCTCCAGTCCCGCCCAGGCCAGGCCTCCTCAGTACCGTCCTCTAGCCTGCTCACCCCTACTCTGCGGCCCTTTCGCCCTCTCGCTCTCTGCCTGGCTTCCCGAAAGGACGCCCCTCCCCTGAACAATTCCACTCACCAGCCGGGAGCTCTCAACTCTGAACCCAGGTAGCCAGAACCGCAAGCAGAGCGCAGGTAAAGCGTGCTTCTCGCGAGACTCGGAAATTCCAGCCTCCAGACCAGCCGCAGCGTTTGGCGCCAAATCTGCGCGCCTTGTGGGCGGTGCCTGCAGGACCCGCCTACCTCGTTCCGCCCACCCACCCGGGGCCCTCCCTGGTGCGTCTGCGCGCCCTGCTGGTTCCTTCGCTTCCGCCCTCCTGAACTCTTCAGAGCAATCAAGCTCCTAATTGCATAAAGCTCATATACGTTGCTTCTAGGCATTTTAAACGTTGGAAATGGGTCTCGGTTGTTAGAAAACTGAGTTGTGGATGGAGTAAAAAGGATAGAGAAAAGCAGTAAAGGTACCTCTTCTTCAGAGTTAAAAGCAGAATGGCTTGGGCGGTGCCTGTGGCTCAGTGAATAGGGCGCTGGCCCCATATACCGAGG